CCTGGGTCCTGGGCGGCATCAAAAGAGGTGTGACCAGCAGGTCGAGGGAGGTGATCCTGCCCTTCTACTCCGCTCTTGTGAGACCCCACCTGGAGTACTGCGTCCAGCTCTGGGGCCCCCAACATAAGGACATGGAGCTGTTGGAGCAAGTCCAGAGGAGGGCCACAAAGATAATCAGAAGGCTGGAGCACCTCTCCTATGAGGACAGGCTGAGAGAGTTGGGCTTGTTCAGCCTGGAGAAGAGAAGGCTCTGGGGAGACCTTCTAGCAGCCTTCCAGTACCTGAAGGGGCCTACAGGAAAGCTGGAGAGGGACTGTTTACAGGGGCATGTAGTGATAGAACAAGGGGTAATGGCTTTAAACTTGAAGAGGGTAGATTTAGATTAGATATAAGGGTAAAAATCTTCACTATGAGGGTGGTGAGGCACTGGAACAGGTTTCCCAGAGAGGTTGTGGATGCCCCCTCCCTGGAAGTGTTCAAGGCCAGGTTGGATGGGGCTTTGGGCAATGTGGTCTAGTGGAGGGTGTCCCTGCCCATGGCAGGGAGGTTGGAACTAGATGATTTTTACTACACTTAGTAAAAAAGAAGAAAAAAGAACACTATTTACATAAGGAAGACAGAAAAAAAAAAGCTTTTGTGGAATATATTCGAACTATAAAAGACTTCTTAATTTTTTATGATGTTACAGAACCATTAGAAAAATCTGTCCAAACAGAAACTCTGTACAATATTTTCTGTATCTTCTGCCTTTTGTTTGCCAAAAAGGTGGAAGGTCTGCTCTGTGCATAATTTAGAGGTATAATAACATAACCTTATGTTCACTACAGAAAACTTTTAAAACATAAATACCATTATCTTTTGAGTTATCAATTATGTTAGTACGAAGCAGGTACTTTGTGAAAGGAATTTGATTTTTTTTTTTTTGAGGAAACAATCTTGTTCACTGTGTTACAACTAACACTTTTAAATGTAAAGTCATTGTTTCACATTCACCCCGCAGCAGGGTTGTTGGAACTAGATGATCTTTAAGGTCCCTTCCAACCCAAACCATTCTATGATTCTATGATTTTTAAACACACCACTGCTGTTCTATACAGCTATAAGCCATGGGTGGTGTGATATTGCAGCAGGTGTAATACGTTTGTAGTGGACTCAAGAGAATAAACTTTTCCAAGTTCCATAATTCCTCAGAATATAGCTTAATGAGGACAATAGTAACACAGAAGTTCAAGGTTGCCATTTGGAGTCTTTATAAAAATAAATACAGGGAAATGTTATGTTTCTAGACTATGCCTTCAGCAACGCTGAGACCGATCCACCAACTTTGAATAGAAGTGAGAGGCCTTGGTAGAGCTGGAGTGCTTCCAGCTGAACCGCCCACCTTCCTCTTTGCACTTTGCTGGCCCCTGCTCCCTAGAGGGCTGCTTCCCTGTTGAGCACACTCAGTTGCTCATGTAAGAGTGAGAATTTTCCTTCTCTCCAGACTGTCACGCACATCCTGAAAATAAATTTATTGCCAACAGACTGAAGAACCAGAAGCTGTCTCAGCCTCAGACTGCAGCTCCAAGCTGCTCTGTGCAGAGTTCAAACACATGCCTGTGTCCATATTTTCAAAAGGACCTTGAACAATTGAAAGGGGTCGTAGAAGAGCAACAAAAATTGTTCAAAGTCAAAGGCATAAGAGATCGATCTGTTTGATTCTTCTCAAAGGAGAATGGAAAGTCATTTCGTTGCATTATAACATGTATTAAAGTGATCTTCAACATTGCAATTAGAAGAAGAAAAAAGAATAGAAATAATTCTATTAATAAGAATAGAAACAAGATTAAGCTGGATGACTTCAAATTAGATATAAAACTCTTTATACAGTGCAGATGATTAATCATAGAAAGAATAAGCTGAATATGGAAGTTGGTTTGATTCAAACAATTTTGAGACATTTTTCTTTTTCAAAACTAAATGTCACTGAACTTGATGTATCCATGTGCCATGTTTGAGTTTGATAAAAATAGGACTTCTGAAATAAACATTTTATCAGTCAAGTGCATTCTCAATGGTGGCTGATCATAATATATCTGATTTTGGATATTTAGGGTTCCTTCTTATTGTCCTTAATCAGAACTCCACACAAGTATTTGACTGTTGAATTCACAGCTCTTAATCCTTCTACCTAGTGACAAAATGCCAAGAAGGGATGAAAGTCATAACGCAGACAGCAAGTGGCCTCTTCTAAAGATATAGTAAAGCACGTGAGAGAGATGGCAAAAGAGTGACTGCTGCAGGCTACCTTCATTCAGATCTGTCAGCTAATTAATTCCCTATTAATTTCATTTTGGTTTTGCTTTCAATGTAATTCCTTTAATCTGCACATCATTTTCTTGCTACTCTGATTCACGAAAAGCAGCGATAACTGAATATCTACGGGGAAGAAATGATAAAATGTAACTTTTAGGAGTTCTGAATACATTCATGACTACTTGATGGCAAATGTGCTGATTATAAAGTACTCAGTTCATTTCTGTACTTATTTTTAATGGGACAGGAAAATTGAAGGGGTTTTGCATTTTGTCTAGGTGTATTACATTCAGTTCTAAAGGGAAATTAATTAATTAATTGAGACTTGATTCTAAATCCATGTGCAATCAAAGTCCTTTGGATAACACGCTTGGAATATAAGGAGATAAGGAGAAAATAAAAATTGAAAAGCCTTCCTAATCTTATACCTGTAATGCTGTTTTTAATTATTATTTATGTCTTCTTTGAAATTTTAGATGTCATGTTAACAAGTTTACAAGAAATGGAATATTATTTAATGTTCTGCAAGTAATAGCTGTACCAGTCGGAATACAATACCTTCTGTAATGAAAAAAACAAGGCAATTACATAAAGCGTGTCATTCACTGAGTTTCAAAAATGGAATAGCTGCCTATTAGTAAAGGTGATACAAACTACAATGGTGAATTGAAGTACACAATAAAAATCCTGTAATGACTGTATCATGTTTTACAGACAACACAGCTGGGATTGAAACCAGGAGAAATGGTTACAGCAGAAGGCAGCAAGAGCTGTACTTTCTTCCACTAGTAATAGAAGATAGCAGCTACCCTGTCCAGAGCAGCACAAACACAATGACTATCCGTGTTTGCAGATGTGATTCTGATGGTACCATCCTGTCCTGCAATGTGGAAGCAATCTTCTTACCAGTTGGCCTCAGCACAGGAGCCCTGATTGCAATCTTGTTGTGTATTGTTATACTTCTAGGTTAGTTCTCATGAAATCGTGTGAAGTGTATTACTCTGAATTAATTTGTGTTGTTACTAGCTTCATCTATTGTTTAACGAAAGCCATTGAAAATGTGTGGCAGTTTATAAGAACTTTTATGCTTCTATGGTTCTAGAAAAGCATCCTAAAGCCCTGACCATGACTGTGAATCTGCTAACACCTACATATTTCTTATTGCATGAAGAGAACCAGCTTTCAGTGGAATCCAAACCATAATTTTTTCTCTGAACCAGTTTTGTTCAAATACTTTTCTGAAGAATTAATATTTTTAGATTATTACTAAGGTAGACAAGTCCTACTGACAGTAACAGCAGTAAGGACTTAGTAAGGGCCTTTATTTAATTATTGACACCACCCCGAGCAAAAGGAAAATGAAGAAATGAGAGAGCAGAAAATTACTGTAATGTAGACTATGACTGGTGAGATCCATGTAAAACTTTACAGGAACATTTTAATTTCAGGCAGACATGGATTCTATAAGGTAGCAGTCAGTTGATCTACATAATATTTAAATATTGCCTTATTTATAACATGCCCAAAGCAGTCAATGCTCATATGCATCCTACTTATAATATAGCCTTAATGAACTGATAACAAAATAAAACCAACTTTGTAGCTTACACAGGCACAATGTGGGCTGCAGAATGCAGACTGATTCTTATAGATGCTGGCCTAAGCCTCTTCTTGATACTAGTGGGCTTCCTAGACCTCACCTTATGTAGGTCTAACGCATAGGCAAAAATAGCTGCAGACACAGAATATAACATATGGATACCTCTTTGCATTTGGATGATATAGTAATTTACCACTTAAGTAAATTAGTACAGGCTTACCTTCTGAGTAGCAGTGAGTAAAAGCCAGAATTTCTGTCCTGTGTAAAAAATTTATGTTGTGAGAAGAATGTTGTTTCAAATCAGAACGAGAATGGCAAATGGTCATACTTCCATGGAACAGGAATTGATAACAAATACATCAATTCTGAAGAATTTAAACCAAAACAAAACAACCTTAGGTCAGTTTTTCAGAAGCAAGAAGAATAGTGTCTCCTTTACCGCAATTCCTTTGGACTTCTTTTTTACTTTTAGGGGTTTCCTGGGTAAAAACAGCCAGGTGTGAACCTCAGCATAAAGAAATTCTATTATGAAAAAAGCTTTAACTTATATTCACAAGGAGAGATAAGTCAATTAGAGCTCTGTCTTAAGGCAAGACTCCCAGGATATCTAACCTCTCTGTTACAGAGCAAAGTGCCTAGAAGCACTAAACACCTACCTATAGCAAAGCCTTTCAAGTTTCCACCTTTGTGTCCAGTTACCTGGACAGTGTGAACTACTCTGCAGAGAGCTTGGTGCTCTTGGTACAGAGATCGTTTACAATGGCAGAGTATCTGGGGAAGTGGAAATACGTGAAATCTGAATTTCCCCCAAATTTGCTAGGTTATCATGGAGGCCTTCAACAGAACTATGTTTATGTTTCCCTAATGGTTTGTTGAAATAACTATAATTTTTATTTAAAAAAACCCAGCATATTCAATCAAAAATAATTATACCAAAGAACTCCTTACCAGATCTGCTTCTGATTGACGCTCTTGCATTATACAAAACTAATGAAGATATCTTAATTCCCACTTTGCACTGAACACCAGATTGAATTACTAAGATCATGTTTGGAAAAGAGGTTTTGGTCCTTTAATAACTCCCTTCATTCCAATCAGCCTGGCAATATTACTGAGAAAAACTAATGTATAAATAATGAGATCTCCAGTGCTGTGTGTAACCTAAGAGAATGGCATTTATCTTGCATCCAGACTTTCTCCCTACTATTCCATTGATCAATTCAAAAACTGCTTTTGGATTTTCATTTTTTGCTGTGAACCTGGCCTGACACAGAGTCATTAAAATTGTAGTTGAAGTCATTCTTGTCAAACTCATTTCTACACAAAAGACGGTCAAACATATTACCAGAATCAGGAGTTATTTTAGGCCACACAAGCCTGACCATGAATTTATAATGCTTGCAACTTTTGTACTCATTATTGTGTTACTTCAACAACAGCACATAGAACACTGTCATTTCTACCAAAGGCAGTTAAGGAATTAAAAATAACAAAAAGGCTAGTTTACTAGAAGCAGATTTTGCACTCAATGAAATATATCACCAAAGACAAACTAGTGAAAAAACCCCACAAGCTGATTACCATTGAGTTGCCATTTGGAATAAAACTAGTTTGTAACATCTTGTATTACATAGAATTGCAAAATCACAGTTGGAAGGCACGTCTGAAGATCATCTAGTCCAACCTCCCTGCTTACAGCAGGGTCAGTTAGGGCAGGTTGCTTAGGGACAAATCCAGTTGGGTTTTGACTATCTCCAAGGATGGATATACCACATCTTCTCTGGGCAACATGATCCAATGACTTGAGCACTCTGACAGTAAAGAAGCTTTTTTCTTTCATTTTAATGGAATTTTCTGCATTTCAATTTGTGCCCATTGCTTCTTGTCCTGTCACTGGACACCAGTGAGAAAAACCTGGCTCCATCTTCTTTACTTCCATCCATCAGGTATTTCTACACATTGATAAGATCCCCCCTGAGACTTCTCTTCTCCAGGCTGAAGAGTCCCAGCTCTCTCAGCCTCTCTTCATATGGCAGATGCTCCAATCCCTTAGTCATCCTTGTGGCTCTGCACTGGACTCACTCCAGAAAGTCCATGTCTGTCTTGTACTGAGGAGCCCAAAACTGAACCCAGAAATCCAAGTGTGTCTGACCAGGGCTGAACAGAGGGGAATGATCACATCCCTAGCCCTGCTGACAACACTCTTCCGAGTGCAGCCCCAAATGCTGTTGACCTTCTTTGCCATAAGGGCACATTGCTGGCTCATGGTGAACTTGCTGTCCACCAGGACCCTAGGTCCTTCTCTATCAAGCTGCTTTCTGGCCAGTCAGCCAACAGCATTTATGGTATGTGGTTATTCCTCTCTATGTGCGGGACTTGGCATTTCCCTTTGTTGAACTTCATGGGGTTAGTGTTGACCCATTCCCCCAGCCTGGTGAGGTCCCTTTGAATGATGGCACAACCCCTGTTGTGCACCTGCAAATTTGTTGAGGGTGCACTCAATACCATGATCCAGGCCATTTATGAAGATGTTAAACAAAACTTGTCCCAGTATCGACCCCTGGGGTACATTATTAGTGACTGTCCTCCTTCTGGTCTTTGGGCTGTTGATCACCATCTGTATTACAGCCTGGCAGTTTGGCCGCTTTTGCAACACTCCTCACTGTCTACTTGTCTAGTCCACGCTTTCTCAGTTTTTCTGAGAAGATCATTATGGGACACAGCATCAAAAACTTTGCTAAAGTTAGGATAAAAAATAATGCACTTTTCTCCCTTCATCCACCAGTCACCTCATTGTAGAAGGCTATCAGGTGAGTTAAGCAATTCACCTTTGTAAATCCATGCTGACTACTTCCTGTTCTTGATAGGTTTCAAAATGGTTTCCAGAACTATTTGCTCCGTCACTTTCCTCAGGATCAAGGTGAGGCTGACTGGCCCGTAGCTCCCTAGCTCATTCCTCTTGCCTTTCTTGAAGACAGGAGTGACACTCCTGTCACTCCCAGTCCCCATGACCTTTCAAAAAATATGGCAAGTGGCTTCACAATTACATCATCTCCCTCACCATTTGTATGTGCATCCTGCAAGTTCCCATGTCCTTGTGGGTGCCCAGTTTGTTTCAAGTGCTCCCTAAACTGACCCTCTTACACCAAAGATAAGTCTTTCTTGTTCCAGACTTTTCCTCTGGTCTCAGGGACCTGGGATTCCTGAAGGACAACCTTACCAATAAAGACAGAGGCAAAGAAGCCATTGAGTAGGTTGGCCTTCTCTGTGTCCTTTGTCAACAGGTCCCCTGCCCCATTCAGCAGTGGGCCAACATTTTCCTTACTTTTTCTTTTGCTGCTGTTGCACTTGTACAAGCCCTTCTTGTTGCCAGTCATGTCCTTTGTGAGATTCAACACCAGCTGGGCTTTGACTTTCCTAATTGCATCCCTGCATGTTCAGACGGTCCCTGTATATTCCTCCTGGCTCACCTGTCTCTGTTTTCATCTCTTATATGCCTCTTTTGTTATCTCTGCATTTAGTCAGGAGCTCCATATTCATCCATGCAGGCCTCCTGCTCTCTTTGCTTGATTTCCTGTTCATCAGGATGGACCACTGTTGACCTTGGAGGAGGTGACACTTGAAAATCAACCAGCTCTCCTGGATCCCTTTTCTCTCCAGAATTATATCACATGGGATGTTTCAAAGCAGATCCCTGAAGAGACCAAAATGTGGTCAGCTGAAGTAGTATTATTTTTTCTCAATTTCAAAGATTCCAATTTTTTTTTTCCCTCTTTAATACTGTGGTGTGATGGTTTTTTTTTTTCTCTGCAATGTGGAAATTTGGGGATTTTTCTCTATTTTGCTATGAAGACTTTTTTTAAAAAATCCCATCTCTTTGTCTCCCTGAACTAAAAAGCTGAAGTCCTCTCCAATTCTATTTGTTCGCAAAGCAGACCAGTAGGAAAATTATTTGTTACTTCCTTCAGCCACAGAGCAAGCACTAAGGAGTTAGACTCATACATCAAACAGCAAAAGATTTCTTATTGGTTAAAGCACTGCTATTTTTAAAAGAATATTAGGAGCATATCTTCTAAGGAAAAAAGTCCTTTTGATTGCGTGCCACTTGCAAAGGAAGATATAATGATATATCATCAGAGTACAAAATTATTTCTGTGCGTGTCTTTTAACTTCAGTTTTCTCTCGTTACAGTCATTGTGGTACTGTATGTAGCACTACGGAGGCAGAAGAAAAAGGACACCCTAATGACCTCTAAAGAAGACATCAGAGATAATGTTATCCATTATGATGATGAAGGAGGTGGAGAAGAGGACACCCAGGCTTTCGACATAGGTGCCCTGAGGAATCCCAAAGTGATTGAAGATAACAAAATACGCAGGGACATAAAACCAGACACCTTGCGTTTTCCACGTCAGAGACCACCAGTTGAAGATAACGCAGACATAAGAGATTTCATTAATCAAAGGCTGCAGGAAAATGATGTAGATCCAACTGCACCTCCTTATGACTCGTTGGCAACCTATGTTTATGAAGGAAATGGATCTGTTGCAGAGTCTCTCAGCTCTATAGACTCCCTTACTACAGAGGCAGACCAGGATTATGACTATCTGAGTGACTGGGGACCTCGCTTTAAGATCTTGGCAGACATGTTCGGAGAAGAAGAAAGTTATAACCCTGACAAAGTCACTTAAGTACAACTACAACAGTGAAATAAAAAGAAAAGTAAACCAACAACAAATTTAAAAGATAAACCTAAGCTTTACAATAGGACAGGATTCCTTTGATTATAAAAGACAGCAACTGTTTCTAGCAAGTTACTACATGTATCATACTGTCAGTTTTGGTTTGATCGGCGAAGGAAAGATAAATCCTGTAATATACACAGTTTTTTGTTGTTGTTATTTTGTTACTCTGGAATTACACTGAGACAAGCTCAGGCCTACAAGGTACAGTTTACTGACCTGACTTAGAAAGAAGATAGCTTTCTGGCATCACGGTGGAAGAGTGGTAGCTTTTTCGTAATTCCACTAAAGTGCCTATTGAAACTTTAATCATTTAAGTGGTAAAGCGTCTGCTGTGATGGTGTTACAAAACTGAATGGTAAATCGGTCAAGAACTTTAAGACAAGAAGCAATAGCAACATGCTGACTTCTTTTAGAACAAAAATGGAGATCACTTCCTGAAGTATATCTAATGACAAAAACTAAGTGGGGGTGTACGTTGTCTTTGGGGGTTGTTTGGTTTTTTTAAAAGAAGAAAACAATATGTCAAGATGTCATAGGTCTTCTTCCAAAATTTCACCGGAATTTTAAATTTAAAATGCTATTGCTCACTCTGAAGATGTAAAGCCCAAATTAAAAAGGAAAAGATCTTAGCATACATCAATGAATATTTAAAATGCTCATGCAAATATTACATTTTTCCAAAATAATAAAAAGATGAAAGCAGCTATTCCTTTATGTGAAGGAAATTTCCCTTGGCTCTCCCTCTTCTTTTAAAATGAGACTATTATTAGAACGTAAAATGGAAAGGGTTTTTTAAGAGTATTATTGTATTTTTAGTACCAAGACATTTTTTCCCTTGTAAGTATCACTAAAGTATATGTAAAGAACTCCATATCACTTTTCTTTGCAATTAGATTGTTACTCTGTAGGTACTATAGGCATACATATTATAGAGGTAGTTATTTTTCAACTGACCATCTGCTACAGTTCAGCATTATCATTGTATTTCGCTGTCAGACCCACATGAGACATTTTAGAGAATGGAAAGCTTATTAATTTGTTCTTGCCAAAATATTAACAGAGGCAGAATAAAAATATAAAACAGGATGTTTGTCCACACTTTATGTACATACACATGCATAAATGTAGCTGTGCGGGTAACAGAAGTATGGATATGTGCAAGGCATTATGCCACGGAAGATCTCCCGTAATACTCCTCCGACTTTTTCTGATGACCTAAGGCATAGGCATTTTGTATAGACAATGGTTTATGGCCCCTGAAGTGCATATATCCTTATATTCTCCTTCTAAAATCTCTGCAGTGCTATACAATCTGCTTGAGCTCTACTCATGATGAATGGCACCGGCAAGGTCAGCCTGAGTCTTTCACGAATCAGTCTTTCATTCTCCTCAGGTCTACAACTTTTTTTTGTACTGTTGAAGAATTAATAACTATCAGGTATACTTAGCTCACAAGTCTGATATTAACATACACAAAGTTCCCTTCACTCTGTTGGGGAAATGTAAAGGTATTTCAAAGTTGCATAAATTAATCTCCTAATGAAACTTCAAAAGGTGTATAGTTTAAATAAGTTTTGGATTGTTCGTTAAAATAGGACAGGGCTACGTTAAAAGCACCATTGGCATAGCTTCTACCAGCAGAGTGCTGAGGAAGAGACATAGCATATGGTAACAAGAAAAGTTTGTGATTTTTTTTCCTTATCAGCAAAGGTATCCTATGTTCCCTGAAAGACAAACTAAGCCAAAAAAAAGCTCTCTTCTCACAGGGCAGGGAAGCAGATGTAGTGGCGGGGCCCATTTGCCAGCATAGCAATTTTCATGTGGAAGGTATTGGGTTTAGTTTTTGCACAACTTGATACTACAGACTGGGCCTAAAACAGAGCTCTGGGGAAAAAAAAAGAAAATGCTACTTGTTACAACACAGGTTTGATTCATGCAAAATTCACACTTGTGAGGTACTTAGCAATGCTTCCTCATGTGGCACATGCATAGCAATGCTTCCTACCCTGCTGCCATAGCTAAAATAAACATCTGACACTGCTCGTTTACAGATGCGCAAATTCTGCTGTAGCCAAATTCTGCTCTTAGTAACTGTGTTAGTCCTTTACATGTATTCTACTAGTAAAGCCAACATAAGTGAGAGCAGGGTTTTGCTTTTTGACGTCACGTGGCATGCTTGCTCCTGGGAAAGCTGCATTTGTAATGGATACTGGGTGAACATTAGGTCTCCTGAATAGGGTGGCATTTGCTCTAAGCAGGACCATCTGTATGGAAGCCTGACTTCCAAAATGGGTAGACAGAAAATGTGGTCTTAAACATGCTGCTACACACAATCCATATTTGAGAGTGAATTGTTGTATTTTCAATTAATACCAAATTGAATATTAAATGCATATTTTTTACATTTAAGAGGTTTGTAACTGAGATGTTTCTATCACATAATTAATAAAACTCCAGGAAGATTTAAAAAAAAAAAAAAAGGTATGTAATTACTAATGGAATTGTCCTATAAAATCATTATTAAAAATTTTTAAGACCTTTTTTTAAAGAGTGATCAAACAATTTTAACTTAACAGGGATATTTTTTGTAAACAGCTCTATAGAACTAAGGAAAATAATTCCTTTTCATTTATGCATAACCTGGGATCCAGGAAAATTGTGTTTAATTCTGCATTCCCTCATTCTCTTTCTAAAAGGTGCTTGTCAGATTTGTAACACTTTATTTTTTAAAAAGGTAATTAGACAAATATGAAATTTACCAGATTTAAAATATATCAGAGCATCTCAGATGACATGAAGTCAATGGGATTAAGGAACCTCAGTGCATTTGTAAATTGTATCAGGTAACTACTTCAGTTTTTAAGCACTATATTTAAAAAAAATCTTCTACAAACCCCTGCACAAACAAGATGTTAAAGTGGATATCTGTCTTTCTCTCAACTGTGGAAAGAGCCATAAACCTCAAATGCTACGAAAGTGACAGGAAGCTAAGATAATGCTTAAAAAGCACAGAAGGGATAGAATCGAGAGAAATACTTCTGGTTAAATTTCCAAATGTAAGATACTGGTGTACAAACATCTAGCACAATCTTAAACGTCTCAACAGTCCTCCCCCTGCAAATCACAAGACATTCTGTAAAATGCCTTCTCCACATGAAGGCATTGAGACACTTCACTGGCACAAAGAAATCCACATTTTAAGTTGAATAGTTATGACATGGACTAGTGATGCTGAAATAAAAGTCTAAATGTAAAGCATTCAGCTAAGAAGGGAAGTATCTAAGGAAATCTAGCTGATAAGCTTACATCGTGGACATACAGAACTGAAGACAAGTTTATAACAGAACACTTGAGAGGAATTTCGGCTAAGAAGGAAAAAGTCTTCCCTGCCCTCCCAAGAAAGCTGAAAATGCCACTACTTAGGAAAGTTCAGATAATTTCTTTGTTGGATCAGAACATAAACGATTGCTAATATTTGGATTTAAGAATGCTACCACATAAATCTGTTATTCTTGAAACACAGATTTGCAATATTGTTAGTGAGTCAAATAGCAAGAATTTGGAAAACAGTGACAGTGGATGATGTCTCTTGCACAAAGATATGTTTGAATATTTTATACTTTCATGATTTTTATTTTATAAATTTGCTCTAAATTTTGCTGTTCAAACTAAAATAACAGTTACTGAGGATTTACTCTAGGTTATGGAAGCAGAGTTCATTGTGGAGCAAAGAGCAATAAATGACTCAGTATATTACTCACAATATTATTCTAGAGACTACCTTGAAAATATTCTTGCCTTAAGATGTCCATATCCACATAAACACAATGGATCCTTCACAAGAGTAAAAAATGTGGTTCTGTAGATGCTATATTCATTTCAGATTTACCTCCATTATTGTTACGAAAGAGTTCTTAAGGCTGTGTTACTATGAAATAACAAATCTCTATTAAATGAATACAGGAAGAAAATATAATAATCCACTAGGTTACAGGCCTTTCATATGACAGTGAGTGGATTTTAATTGCTGAGATTTGGGTTTGTAAATTCTTTGCAGTTATTTTATTAATTTTATTATTATTATTATTAACATAGACATTCAAATCCTGTGTGTATAGAAATATTTTTAAGCTTTATAAACCTTAATGAAAACAAATAATGAAATGGCCCCTAATAATAACCCTATTGAGGCGACATTTAAGTGTGAATGAAAATCAAAGTTTATATTACACCCCTTCACAACCTTCTTTTAATGGCAAATCTATAATAATCTGATTCGTTTTCTCTTCTTATTTAAATCAAGAACCAGATAAGTTGTCAGAACATGAGCAACAGTTCCTATTTTGAGCAAAACTAAGATAAGTTCCTGTTTGGGTTTTGTTTTGATTTTTTTTTGTTGTGGGGTTTTTTTGTTTGTTTGTTTGTTTTTTTGTTAGATTGTTTGTTTTTTTAATAATGTTCTATTTAGTTAATGGATAAACGTCCTTTATTCAACTTTCGTTTGCAACTAAAATCCCCACATAATTTTTTCAACCTGCCCTAACTGACCCTGCTGTAAAGCAGGGAGGTTGGACTAGCTAATCTCCGGAGGTGTCTTCCATCCTCAGCTATTCTGTGATTTATGCTAAAACCATCCTGTGTACTTAGGCTCCTAACCTCTACTAAACTTAATGGCATTAGGGACCTAACTACATATGCATAGTACTGTGACATGTTTTAGAGGGACAGCTCAGGTAGGAGCAGAGGAATAGGACAGCAATCTATAAAATTGCTAGCAATGTGGATAGACTGGAGAGGGATAAATTATTTACTGTCACTTCCAGTACAAGAAGTAAGGGGATCACATGAAACTAGCAGGAGTAAGGATGAAAATAAAAAAACCAGAGGTGATTCTTCACATGATGAGTAGCTGAGATAGTTGTGGAGGTTCAGAGTTTACATCATTTGAAAAAGATGCTGGAGAAATTAAGAAAAAACTAACAATTTGTGGGTTGCTTAATACAGATGAATCACATCTGGCTCAGGGAGTCACTGAATAGTGCTTGATTAACATCAAGGGGAGTCACATAACCTGGTCTGTTCCTACATGTTTTCCTGGGATATCAGCTTATGCCAATGCTGGAAAAGTTTACTACCCCAGTTTGACCAATCTTACTTTCTAATTATGATTTTATTGTAAATTTGATTGATCCTCATGATTCCCTCAGTTCTAATTTTCCAAATTGCATAGATAAAGCCAATTCTTTCTTTTTTATTACGTCACATGCATATATGCATTCATATTTTATCATTTCCCTCAGATTTTAACTATTGTAATTGCCATATTTCCTTCAATTCTGCACACCTTTATACAGTACTTACACACTTTTGTCTTTAACAGGGACACTAACACTGATTGCTGTC